AAAATAAATAAACCTAATTCCCCCTACACACCAAAATAAAATAAATAATACAGTAATAATCAAGGAAACCTAAGTAAAGTTAACCTTGTGTATGAGAGTTAGAGGCCAACCCAGATACATGCTTGAATAAAGGCCACCCCACTTCTATTCCAGAGATGGGAATTGTTTGTGTATATGTATCTTAGAATTGTGTGTGTGTGTGTGTGTGTGTGTGTATCCACATACATATGCATGTATGTGCACACATACATGCACATGTTTTGAATAAATCAAGATGTAATACTTAAGTAGTGAATTTTCTTATGTGTTAATCTATTCTTTTTTCATCAGGTCAATGACCGCATTCAGAGGAGACAGCAAAGTTATGAAATTATTTGCAAAACATATAAAGGTAAACAAGGGCATATCTTTCCTGGTGAGAGATGAAAGTGATCCATAAAGGCCAGTCCAGACCTCAGTTTCTCTGCTTCAGCCTCTTTTCCTTCTCTCCTTAGCAAGCATGTTCTTTGGTGCCTCCTTATAGAACATATTTAGCAACCATTCTGGTTTTCCTTGCCTTTCCTTCATCTATCCCAACAGTCAACATTCCTCTATACTCTGAGATTCCTATACAGGCGCTGAGGTTTGATCCCTGGATTCTTTGAAGATTTACCAGTTTTCTAGGGAGATGCTTTTCTGTCTGATGTTACTCTTCTTTGCCCTGGAAGTTGTCCCTAAACAGGGGTAGCTCCGTTTGCTTTTTGCCTCTTAGCTTTTACAGTAAATACTCTAAATTGGGCTGTGATTGAACTTTTTGATGATTCTTCTTTGTTCTCCATCATTTTGGAATAGGTCCAGGAGCAGGTAAAATTGCTGGAGAAGCGTGTGGTACACCTTGGTGTAGGAACTCCAGGGAGGATTAAAGAACTCATTAAACAAGGTATGAAAAGAGGTGGTGATACTCCTATTCAGAGCCGGGAGTTTGCCTGCCCCCTATGTGAGTTTGGGAAACCACATGTGTGAGGTAGTGAAACCAGACCTCTGTGTTAATTCAGGAGTTGGAAACTCAGACTTTAGTCTCTAAAGCTGCCAGCAGGTATAATGCAGTAGGGAGTGATAAGGACTGTTGCAAACTGCAGTGCACGTGCCCATCTAAATACATTCAAATCCCAGTTGCTGTAAGCAGGTTAGTGGATCCACAAATTATTCCACCAATTTGCAATTGTATAGCTGGATGTGCTGAGTATTTCCCTCTCACTTAATTGAGTCTCGGCCCCCCAGGACTCCCATTCTAGTTGAGGGCTGGTATAAAAATTTGTTGAAACAAAAATGCAGTTTCTGTGGGTGAAATATAGGTATTAAAAATACTTCTCCCGAATGTATTTCTCTTTTAGTGCTTTACCCAGAAAGTATTCCAGACAGCATCCACCAGTGGGTTTTTATAGTTTGTTGACTTTACCAAAGCCTAAAAACCTGCTGACCTGCTGATAATCTTATGTATTCTACCTCAGACAGATTAAAGATTTCTTTTCAATGCTCATTTCCTAATTACTTGTTTAATACAGTAATAGAACATTATTTTATAACTACCTGAGGCTAGTCCTCGATTTTTATGTATCTAAAAGTATAGTAGCTAAATATAGAGATGATCATTTGCCAGGAAGCAAACGAGAGCTAAACATACTTGTGTTTCTCTCCAGATGAAAATCATCCAGGCTTAAATGAACCCAGGATATGCAGAGGTCTGCACAATTACAAGGAAGTAACAAACTTGGTAGCCCCAGACAAAGAAGGGAAGCAAATATTTTTTGAGTTCCTATTTGCACTCAGTGCTATGCCAGACACTCTCACATATCTTACCTAGTACTCATAGCATCCTTGCAGGCAAGCAGTCTTAATTTTTATAAGAGAAAACTGAAGCTTAGAAGGGTTACATAGCCCGCCCCAAGAGCTTTCATTCGAGGCCTTCCTGGTTCCAAAGCTTTTCCCCTTGAGGAGCTCCTGATCCAGCTGAAGAGATAAATGTACATAGAATGAGATTGACAACATGAGGCAGTAAATGCCAGGGGCCAAATGAGTACTTCTAAATCCTATAGAAATTGAAATGAGGGAGAGATGGTTATGGTGGCTAGATCTGCAGGGAAGATTTTACAGAGGAAAGGGTCTTTAAGTGATCTTTGAAGTATATGGAGGATTAAAATAGGATCTTTGAAGTATGGAGACATGAGGAAAGCCTTCAGGAATGGGAGAACAGCTGAATCAGAAGCAGGCAGGCAGATGCACAGTGTGCAACCAGAGGAGGTGTTAAGTAGGCAATACCATGCTGAGGTTAAGAGCCCCTATTATGGACTGAAACCTCTGAATGCAAGTCCATGGTCCATCAATTTACCAACTCTGTGACTTGGCAGGTTTTTTAACCTTTCTAACCCTATTTCTTTATCTGAATGCCAGAGATAGTAATAGCATCTACCTCAAAGGATTGTTATACCAATAAAGAGCTAAACACAATGAATGTCACACCTTAAGAACTCAAACAAATACCCGTTAGTACCTTTATTAAAAGAGACCACCTTTCTTGCTTGGAGACTTCGTGGGCTGTAGTAGCCTGTGATTCAGTTGGAAAGCAAGTCAGATTGTAGAGAGTAGATCTTACACAGTAATTGGCTGGATTTTTATCTTGTGGGCTGAGGAGGGTGTTAAAAGTGAAGGAGCAGATGACAGGCACTGAGAGTCTGTAAGACACAGAGTTGGGAGAAATTGGCTGGGCAGCAGGAAGGGCCAAGGATGCGCCCTCCCATTCCCTCTTAGCCAGAGATCCACCTCTCCCCTTCCTGGATTCTAGCTGATTTGTGTGTGTCACTAGGCACCCCGTGCAGCAGGGCACTCTTCTACATATTTAATATTTAAGAGGAGGGGGGAGAGCGAGAACAAACTTGTCCAGATTGTTGAAATTAGATTTCTACAGAGTTGTTGAAACTCACTGTGGAGGCTTATTTCATTTAAGGAATGGAAAAATCATTCAAGGAGCTGTTGACTTTTTCATAATATTAATGAAAATAACTTCTGATTCTAACTGGTTGAATGGTTTAATATTCATTAACTACAGATGTTACCATACAAAGTATTTTAAAAGAACAATTCCAGCACTCTAGAAACTGAAAATCTAGCAAAGCAAAGCAAGTGGCCCATAATTCATTTTATATAGCTGTTTATGATTTAAGATGTTTATATATATGATATATTAAGGAGAGTTTCTAGACATCAAAAAATATCCTGTAATGCTGGGATCCATACACTTATAGTCAGAATTGTATTGTTTCATTTAGTAAAAAAGGGAATTTTCTAATTATGAGTCTCTGTACAATGCAAAAAAGGTACAGAAAAGAAAATAAGTCACTTTAATCTCTTGTTAGTTAATATTAAATATATTTCTTTTCAGTCTTTTTCTATGCATTTATCTATTTTTATAAGTAGAAATCATATTGCATGTAATAACTTTGTAGCCTGTCTTTTCCACTTAATGTATCTCATGAGGACTTTCCTTGTCATGAATTAGTTTTAATTTTTCATTTTTAATGGCTACATATGTTCTGCTGAATTTTGTTCTAGTTTGATTGAGATATAATTGACATATAACATTGTACTGACCATGGCATACAAATCAGTCAGTTCACATATTTACAATTTTCTGTCTTCTCATGAGAACTTTTAAAGTCTACCTTTTTAACAACTTTCAAATATATAGTACGGTATTGTTAACTATGGTTACCATGCTATGTATTACATCCCCAGAGCATATTTACCTTATAGCTGAAAATTCTTACGTTTTGCTCCTTCAGCTTTTTCTCCCACCCCCAACCTCTGGCAACCACCACCAGTTTGTTCTCTGTAGCTATGAAATGATTTGTTTGTTTGTTTGTTTCCCCATATAAGTGAGATCATACAGTACTTGTCTTTCTCTGACTTATTTTCCTTAGTATATATAATGCCTTCAAGGTCCATCCATGTTGTCACAAGTGGCAGGATTTTCTTTTTTATGGCTGAATAACATTCCACTGTTGTGTGTATGTGTGTCACATGTTCTTTATCCAGTCATTTGTCAGTGGAAACTTAGGTTGTTCCCATGTCTTGGCTATTGTAAGTAATGCTGCAGTGATTATGAGGATGCAGATATCTTCCTGAGATAGTGATTTCATTTCCTTTGGGTGTATAACCAGAAGTAGAATCGCTGGGTCACATGATAGTTCTGTTTTTAATTTTTTTGAGAAACCTCCATACTGTTTTTCATAGTGGCTACACCAATTTACAATCCCACCAACAGTGCACAAGGGTTCCTTTTTTCCCACGTCTCTTGTCATTTTGGTAATAGTCATTCTAAAAAGTATTAGGCAATAGCTCATTTTGATTTTGATTTATGTTTCCCTGATGTGACACTGACCACATTTTCATGTACCTGTTGGCCATTTTGTATGTCTTCTTTGGAAAAACGTCTACTCAGTTACTGTGCCTATTTTTAAGTCAGATCACTTGTTTTTTTGCCGTTGAGTTGTATGAGTTCTTTATATTTTTTGGATATTAACACCAATTTATATTGTTTTTTGGAGCAATTCTGTTTTGATAGGATATTTGGGGTCTTTCTAATTTGTTTTTACTATTACAAGTTATACACAGTGATCATCTTTACAAGTTAAGTATGCATTAAGTGTCTGATATTTTATTGGGATATGTCATAAAGGAGAATTATTTTATCACATACTAAGCATTTTAAAGCTCCTCTTGTATAATGCCTGGTTGCTTTCCGGAGAGACTTGTTTGCTCTCCCACCAGCAGTCAGTTATTTTTAGGGGAACACTATCAACTCATTGTCTTTTCCTCACCTATCATTTTTAATTTTGCAGAGAAAGTTTTAAATAAGAGGCACTGTAGTTATAAGAAGCTTGGAAAAGTTTTTTTGGGCAGAGAGGGAAACACTGAAATAACAGTATCGAGGGGAAGTGCTGTAGGATAAAGGAAGGCTTCGTTATGTTTCCAGGTGTAACATGTAACAGCTGGGGGCAGAGGGAAAAACTGACTGCCCAGCTCTGAGACCTCTGAGGAACAGACAATCTCTGAGGTCCTCTCTGGCCCCACATTCCATAATTGTCTCTAAATAGATGGGAAAACAGCAGGAATGAAACTTTAAGCGGTTTACCAGTCTCCTCAAATTCTGAATAGAACCCATTCATCTTAACTGTCTTTTCTGCCTGAAATTAACCCTGCAACCCTGTTCTCATCCTTCTACCCACTCACCTCCGCACAGCCATGCAGACTCTGTTGGACTCAACTCCTCTGCAGGGCTACTACCCCAAGCTGCAGGATATATTTTATCAAATCCCTGGCGGGAAGACTTCACCCTCTGAAGCTTCATGAAATGGAGGCTTGGGTTTGATTCTTTGCCAACACTTGAGCATTTGACAAGCTTAGCAAGAGCAGCTTCCCTGCTTCGTTGAGAATCAGCGATAAGATTGTAAAGGGAGCAAGACTCCAAGTGCTACATTTGCTTTCCATCAGGCAAGGACAGCACTTAAATGTGCAGAGATTAGTGGCCGGGGGAGAATAGAGCAAATGAGGCAAAAAGCAACCAGGAGAATAAAAAATCATTTTAATAAACTTGGGTCATGAGTTCTTTAATGTAGCAACACTCTCCCTGTCTCTTTCAGGTGGCCTTAATTTGAACCCCTTAAAGTTTCTGGTTTTTGACTGGAACTGGAGAGATCAAAAATTGAGGAGGATGATGGACATTCCCGAGGTACCATGTAACCAGCAATCCAGCACTTGCCTTTAATCTTTTCTTTTTTTTTTTTTTTTTCAATTTGAACTTGAGTTCAAACACAGTAATAAAGTCTTTGACATGGGGAGCCAGCACATTCTGGCCTTTGAAATGATTTCCTTTAACTCTGAAGTAACTACAATTATAGAGGTCATCTCACCCCTTACACATAACTGTATCTTTTCCATGTGTTTTGTAGGAATCAGCTTTGTTTCTTCATTAAATAACCAATGGCCTCTGCCTCACTGGGGACCACATCTATACTGTACCTTAGAGAGACATGAAGATCTGGAGGACTTGGCACATTTCCCTGTGCCTTGTTTTAAAGACACAATTATCTTTGCCTTTCATCCTTATAAGTGCACTTGGAGGTGGGGGGCACAAACTTGCCTCATTACCTGCATCTCCATATCCCCACTTACCTAATTTAGAGGGCTGTTTTGTTTTTTGGGGAATGGGAAATTTTTTTTGATGTCTCAATGGATTAGAGCTGATTGAATACCTTTGTGGGAACAGCATTAGCTCATTATATATTTATGAAGGTAATCCATTATCATCATAATGTGAAAAATTGATTTGCCACCCACCATGTTATCATGGGACTAATATTTCAATCTACTCAGCTGCTTAGAAGCTGCTGTTGGCGAGAATAGGGTTGTGCAGTAATAAACATGGCTGCTAGTCACCAACGAGGAATAAATCATGGCAGAAACTATCAAAGAAGATGGGAATTACTCCTCCAAAAATGCTGAATGAATTAATTTACTATGTAAAACTATATCCCCAGAATGACCAAATCTGATTATAATTGATTGGTCGGTTATCTTAGACATCAGTTCGGACGGAAAAACCATTTTCTCAGTTCCCTACACACACATCTGAGTAAGTCACCACTAGTTTTCTAATTATAATAATGAGGGAGAAATAGTCTCCAAAAAGAATAACCTATAGTCATTTTTATTATGTTGATGTCATTATTAGCAGTTTTGCTACATTGAAATATTATGTATACTCTAGGCACACTTTGGATATCTTGAAACACTTTTGTATAAGATTCTTTTATGAGCTTTTATTTTGAATGGCTGCAAACAAAAGGGCATTTTAATGAAACTGATGTCTTATATAGTACATCTTCTTTTACTTTTGTAAATATTTCAACTCTGAATAAAATGCAGGTTTTGCTCTTCCTAGTTCTGGCCGTAACAACTGCATAAAATACCAGAGAGTCCAGATGGTTGAATTTATTCATCAAGACCATCTTTTCTTGATCTTAACTTTTTTTTTCTTTTCTCTCATTTAGATAAGAAAGGAGGTTTTTGAACTTTTGGAAATGGGAGTCTTCAGTCTATGCAAATCAGAATCTTTGAAGCTGGGCCTTTTCTAAATCTAGGTCCTGATGAAGATTCCAGTTTTTATGGTGGGATTTGCATCTCCTTTAATGGCTTTGGCACATTGCATTCACTCAGAAGATATCAGCTATTGTTTTATTAAGTTAATTGTGTCACCAGATGGATTGCTGGGAATGTTTCATGGGGATTCTTTGAGAAAAATGAATCTGTCCTTTGCCAAAACCCTTGTATAATAAAGCATCACTGGCTTGTGTGTGATTTTTGTTACACAGACTGAGTTTTTCTCTCACCAACTGGCCTCTAATAGGACTGTGTAAGGGAAGGGAAAGAGCAGCGGGGCAACCCTAAACAAGCCCCTTCCCTCTCTTAGCCTCAGTTTAATCAGCTGCGAAATGGGAATGGTATCTTGCAGGCTTGCTGAGGATTTCATGAGATGGTGCATGTGGAACGGATTTATAAACTGTGAAGCCTAGTCCCAGAGTGAAGGGTGGCAGTGGTAGTGGTAGAAAGAGCTGTAAGTATATGTGGCACTTTGTAAACATGGCAAAGACAGTGATGTACCTAGAATGGTCTTACTCATTTATTTCTTTAACTCTTTATTTTGAGGTAGTTTCACACATATGGAACAGTTGCAAAAATAGTATAAAGAATTCCCATACTCTCTTTCCCCAGCACCCCCAGTGTTAACATCTTGTATAACCATAGTACAATTATCAAAACTAAGGAATCAACATTGATACAATACAATTAACTAAACTACAGACTGTATTTAGAATTCCCCAGTTTTCCTACTGTTGTCCGTTTTCTATTCCAGGATCCACTCATCCCACATTGCATGTAGTTGTCATTCTCCTTAGTTTCCTCCGGTCGGTGACAGTTTCTCACCAAAACTGTTGTTCATAACCTTGACACTTTTATAGAATGTCCCTCAATTTGAGTTTGTCTATTGTTTGTCTGGAAGAAAACATCAGAACATGACTTTATAAGAGAACAGAATTGCAAATTGAGACATGCAGTCTGTGCTTTCAGAATTCAGACCAATCCAGCTGCCAAACCCAAAAATGAGACTGTCATGAATATTATGTGTGCATATGAGTATGTGTGTTTGTGACTGTACCCCACACATACAACCACTTCCTGATTCTACATTTATTTGGTACATTTGTGTCTCAGCAGTTAATGGGGAAAGGTAGTGAAATACGAGGCAACCCAGTATATGCAAAATGTCTGGATGCCTGAAGAGGCTATCTACACAGCAGTTAAAGAGAAATGACAGCAAGGACTTTAAAAGTCACTTTCTGAAGTTTCTAGTGATACCAACACAATGGCCTCTAACAGATCGTCATATCCATATCGGTGTTAACAAGTGGTTCTCAACTCAGAGCTATTTTGACCCCCAAGGGCCATTTGCCATACCTGGAGACATATTTGATTGTCACAACTCAGGGAGGAGGGGGCTACTACTGGCATCTAGTGCAGGATTGCAACTGGCATTTAATGGGTAGAGGCCAGGGACACTGCTCAATATCCTGCAAACCTGCAGGACAACCCCCACAACAAAAAAAAATCTGGCCCAAAATGTCAATAGTGCTGAGGCTGAAAAACTCTACTCTAGACATTTAAAAAGGAGAATATAATGAAATATATTTCTATATTTGCAGTGGATTTATTTAGGAGAGAAATGTGTGAATATAAAAGTAACTGTAAAATGCATATCTGGCCATCTCTGAAGAATGTTGCCCCAGAAATGTTTTCACTCACTACCTATAATGGTTAATTTTAATGTGTCAACTTAACTGGACTCAGGGTACCAGATTGCTGGTCAAATACTGTTCTGGGTGTTTCTGTGAGGGTACTTTTGGATGAAATTAACATTTAAATTGGTAAATTCGAGTAAAGCAGATTGCCCTCCATAATGTAGGTGGGCCTCATCTGGTCAGTTGAAAGCCTGGATAGAATAAAAGGCTGCCCCTCCCCCACGTAGGAAAGAATTCCTCCTTCCAACTGAAACATCAGCTCTTCCTACCTGACAACCTTCAAACCGTGACTTCAACTCTTCCTGTTTCTACAGCAGCTTTTGGCCTTTGAACTCAAACTGAAACATCAACCCTGCAGATTTTGGATTTGCCAGCCTCTTCCATAGTCACGTGAGCCAATTCTTTACAATAGATCTATGCATACATATAGATCTCCTGTTGGTTCTGTTTCTCCAGAAAACTTAATATACTCCTGTGAAGCACCTCTTACTTTGGGATTTGGGGTAGATTCGTTTTGCTTTTTTATAAAAAGCCTAAGAAATACTGTAATGACCCTTTTGGTGGGTGTCATCTGTGTACTGTAATTTCACGCAATGTTGGAATAAGTACCTAGATTGCAAACATACCTGATATTTTGTAGGTCAGTTCTGCACACATAATCTAATCTCATAGGCTGTTACTGCCTTTTAAACTCACTTCTGGACCATGTTTATTTAGTAAAACAAATAGTAGATATGAACTTGGAAGTGTTCACTGCCATCTTCTCACACAAGTCTGTCTGAAACCAACAGCCATACTTGTTACCACCTCCAAGCCAGATTCAAATGTCTTGCTGAAAATTTCCCATTGGTGGTATGCTTTTTTTTCTTCCAATTTCGCAAGTGGGAAACTTTGACTCTGAACTGGAAACATCCCAGTGTAAGTAATTGCATTTATTTGGTATTCTTTTAAATTAATTAGATTTGCCAAACTCATTGCTTTCTTTAATACAAAAATAGTCCAGCATGGCTTCTCTGCCTAATGTTAATAAAAAAAATTTAGAAACTCACATGCTGCCTTCTTTTTTAAAAAGCCTAATTCTACATCTTAAATTCATCTTGAAGAGGAAGTAATTATTAATACTCTAATGAAAATGTTAGTGAATTTCTAATAAGTAGGGGAAAAAAAGAAAAATCCAAAACCAAACCAGTAATACTAACATTGCAATATTAAACATTTCATTATCTATTTTTGTCTTCCTTTCTCTTGCCTTATTTGGGCTATTTCAAAGCATGTGCTTGGGAAGAAGTTAGGAGGAGATGTCTTTCATCTGCATTTCCTACCAGAGTCTTTCTTATGGGTGAAAAAATTGGAAGCTGCTGAGATTAAACATCTGTGTCCTACAGTCCCCATTTGCTTCTTTTCTCATTATCACAAATAGTCAAGTTAGCTGTAATCTGAGAATATTTTCCCAATTTATTCTATATTCATGTTAAGGGACAGCCACATTTGGAAAAAAAGTTGAAAGCACTAACTTCTTTTTTGTTGTTGTTGTATTAATCTCCAAGGATTTGGACAAGTTCTTAAAGATAAATCCATTTTCCCCTTTCAGGAAGGGCTTGCCTTTAATTAGTCACCACATCCCAGAAGTAGCCAGTTACAACTGCTTCCCAGTGTCACCAGTCATTGGGTTATACAGACCTGGTGGGGACATATCTCCTTGGCATGGCATTTAGCACAATGAGCTTTTTAGCCTAAGTAAAATATACCTATCAGTAGCTGATTGAAGGGAGCTGTGCTCCTGCTGAATATCCGGGCTGGTTAAGGAGTAATTCCAGGAAGCAGAAAAACCTTGCAAATGCACCGGAAGATTCATGTAATTTTTTTTAATTAAAGTGTATTCGATATACAATGTTGTGTTAATTTCTGATGTACAGCATAGTGATTCAGTTATTTTTATATATATTCCTTTTCATATTCCTTTTTATTATAGGCCATTACAAAGTATGTATATAATTCCCTGTGCTATACAGTAGGACCTTGTTTATTTTATATAGAGTAGTATCTGCAAATCCTGAACTCATATAAGTCTTAATATTACCTTTATGTGTTATTGCTGTAAGCAGTAATGCTACAAATGTCTTGAAAGTATATCTGCGTCACCTGCAGGGCCAAAATGAAGAGGGGATCCCACGATTGCCAGTCCAGATTGCCAGACAATACTGCTTTGAAGCAGCAGCAATTGCCTGCCTACCGGCTACAGCTCACAGCCACCATAATCCTCTCTGGATTTTTTATCACAGGAGTGTTCTGCCTTGGTGTGGGTGTCATCCTTCTCTTGTCTGCAAAGAACATCAAGGAAGTAGAGGTTTGTCCCATCTTACATTTTTAATGCGATTTTTAAGAATTTTTAGCTTTGGGACTATAAATGAGTGGTCAGTTTGAGAACACAGCCCCTTGACAGGGAACTAGACGGGACTGGAACATCCCTTTTCTAGCTGGCAGGTGCACATGGTGATAGAGCCTCTGCACCTGCCAGAGACTATATCCACTCCTCCTCCCTCTTGAGGACAATCACTCTCACTCTGGTCAGTTCAGCCATATTTGTTTCCAGGGACCTGGCAAAATCAGGAGCTTTTTATGCTGGCAGAGTACTGAGCAAGCGATTGGTATTGTCAGGAGGAGAGGCAAGGCCAGACGCCCGAGAATCATGTTGATAAAAAGAGTGAAGAACCAAAGATACAGGTCTTCGATTTTGCCCAGCTTTCAAGCATTGTGACTTTCCCTTTACAAATGAACTCCCTCTGAGATCATTACTTTAATCTAGGAAAAGCAAGAACCTAAATCTTTCTGGCCTTATCAGGATACTTAGCAAAGTAAACCAAGTTCTACTCAGAGCTAAGGGCACACTCCTCAGTCACAAGCCCTTTGCCAATTTGACTATTAACCTATTGGAGGATGAGAATCCCAGAAGCTGGTTGGGGGAAGATCTGGTCTGAGGCCATGCCCACATTTGATCTAATGAATTAAGTAAATGCTTCAGGCAAATCGGCTCTGGGTAGATTACCAGATATCCCAGACTGTATGACCACCATTCTGAAGGCAGGCCTGGAAAGCTCATCTATTCCCTCTCCCCACGGGGACTAGTGGCAAAATTACCTTGAAGGCCAAGTCTGTCAACGTTGATTTCGTGTTCATGAGTGTCTGCAGGTGCTAGGAGTTTTGGGTGTGCAGATGAGTGAGGTAGGTAAGACTTGATTCCTGCCCTCAGTGAACTAGTAACAGAGTAGGTAAGAGAGTGTGTGGTAAGAACACAGAGCTCAGCCACAGCTGGCTCGTTTTCCATATCCCAGCCCCATCCTTGCACAATGCCATTACACTATAGGCACACACTTATCAAAAGGATGGATTAGGGCAGCTAGTGTGGACTTCAAGGAAGAAAATGTCATCTGAGGTCCCACTCCTCCTACCAACATATACTTCCCTACTGCCTTTCCACTGAAATTTTCTACTCCCCACCCCCCAGCTCCCAGCAGGTCATCTTCCTAGTGCCCCCAAGTCCTTTTGAGTCCTTTAGTTTAGTAATGTAAACCACCAGGCCACACCAGGTAGCAAATTAAACTTGCCTTGTTGAAGGGGTAGCAAAGTAATTGGCTTACAAGATTGATACTCATTTCCACAAATAGCTCATCCTGTTTACTTGTCTACTTTCTCCTTCACCAGCCCCTTTCACCAACACCTCCTGTGTGTTTCCTGCTTCATCCCTCCTAGTCACCCATCCCTATCCACTATGAAATGCAGCCTCCATTAAAAGGCAGCCATTGCTTAGCAGGGTACAAGATTGACATACAGAAATCTGTTGCATTTCTTTACACTAACAATGAAATATCAGAAAAGGAAAGTGAAAAAAAAATCCCTTTTAAAATTGCATCAAAAAATAAATAAAATACTTACCTCCTGCCAAGGAAGTAAAAGACTTATATGCTGAAAACTATAAAACATTGATAAAGGAAATTAAAGATGATTTAAAGAAATGGAAAGATATCCCATGCTCTTGGATTGAAAGAATTAATGTTGTTAAAATGACCATACTACCCAAAGCAATTTATGTGATTAATGTGATCCCTATTAAATTATCGATGACATTTTTCACAGAACTACACTGAAAATCCTAAAATTTATATGGAATAAAAAAAAAAAAAGACCCAGAGTTGCCAAAGCAATCCTGAGGAGAAAAACCAAAGCTGGAGGCATAACCCTTCTAGACTTCAGAAGATACTACAAAGCTACAGTAATCAAAACAGTGTGGTCTTGGCACAAAAACAGGCATATGGATCAATCGAACAGAATAGAGAGCCCAAAAATAAACCCACACACCTATGTTCAATTAATCTACAACAAAGGAGGCAAAAATACACAATGCAGAAAAGACAAGTCTATTTGGCAAATGGTGTTGGGAAAGCTGAACAGCTGCGTGTCAGTCAATGAAGTTAGAACACTCCCTCACACCATACACAAAAATAAACTCAAAATGGCTTAAAGACAAACATAAGACAGGACACCATAAATCTCCTAGAAGAGAACAAAGGCAGAACATTCTCTGACATAAATTGTAGCAATCTTTTCCTAGGTCAGTCTCCCAAGACATTAGAAATAAAAGCAAAAGTAAACAAATGGTACCTAATTAAACTTATAAACTTTTGTACAGCAAAGAAAACCATAAACAAAATGAAAAGACAACCTATGGACTGGGAGAAAATATTTGCAAATGATGCAACTGACAAGGGCTTAATTTCCAGAATATACGGACAGCTCATTTAACTCAATAACAAGAAAACAAACAATCCAATCAAAAAATAGGCAGAAGACCTAAATAGACATTTCTCCAACGAAGACATACAGATGGCCAATAGGCACATGAAAAGATGGTCAATAGCACTAATTATCAAAACTACAGTGAGGTATCACCTCACACTGATCAGAATGGCCATCATTAAAAAGTTCATAAATGATAAATGCTGGAGAGGGTATGAAGAAAAGGGAACCCTCCTTCACTGTTGGTGGGAATGTAACTTGTTGCAGCCAAAACAGTATGGAAAACAGTATAAAGATTCCCTAAACTAAAAATAGAGTTATCATATAATCGACCAATCCCACTTCTTGAGCATGTATCCAGAGAAAACTCTGATTCAAAAAGATACATGCACCCCAATGTTCATAGCAGCACTGTTTACAACAGCCAAGGCATGGGAGCAACCTAAACGTCCATCAACAGATGACTGGATAAAGAAGTTGTGGTACATACATATGTGTGTGTGTGTGTGTATGTGTGTTTGTATATAAAATGAAATACTACTCAGGCATAAAAGAAAATGAAAGAATGCCATTTGCAGCAACATGGCTGGACCTAGATATTGTCATATAAAGTGAAGTAGTAAGTTAGCAATAGACAAATATTATATGATACTGTTTATATGTGGAATCTTAAACAAAAATGATACAAATGAACTTATTTATAAAACAGACTCACAGACATAGAAAACAAACTTATTGTCACCAAGGGGAAGGGGTGGTAGGGGGATAAATTAAGAGTTTGAGATAAGCAGATACAAATTACTATATAGAAAATAGATAAACACCAAGGTCCTACTGTATAGCACAGGGAATTATTTTCAATGGCTTGTAATAAACTATAAGGACTAAATATATACGTATAACTGAATCACTATGCTGTACACGAGAAACTAACACAGCATTGTAAATCAACCATACTTCAATTTTTTTACACGAGAAACTAACACAGCATTGTAAATCAACCATACTTCAATTTTTTAAAAAAGGAAGCAGCCATTGCTGAATACTGTCACCTCATGCATGTGAGAACTTCACCCCATTGTTGATTCAAGACAACACTGCAAATGACTTTCAACAGGACGCTTTTATCATGATATTAAGCGGATTTTCCAACTGACTTTTCTTTTAAGCCACTGTTTCTAACACTTTGCTTTCATACAGGAAGATCAGAAAAGAATGCTATCCTCTTTTGCACATGGAAGTGTTTTATTATGATGGGTAGTAAGATGAAGTGCTTATCGCAGGCCAGTGTGGCCAACAGAGGCCTAGTAGAAGAACAGAGTCCTAGTAGAAGAGTTTGGAACTGGCTTTCCTGTGCTCATTCAGCTCTGGGGCACATCAAGAAAGTGCCCTCTGTGCAGTTCACTTTAGGCAAGAATGATAATTCCTTCCTCTCCAAAATTCTGTGAGAAGCAAGCAGACTATGACCTTTGCTGTCATTTTTGAGCTATAGGTTTACAGAGTCACTCGAGCCACAAAGTAGACAGTAGATCAAAGATATATTTTTCTTATAAAATTTTTAGAGCTAGAAAGCACCTTAGATATCATCTAGTCAAAAATTATTTGATCATGAAATACATTTTTTCCTAATTCTGCATTGACAGAACTCCAACAAGAATTCATGGAGTAGAATGTATACTACTACAGTGACCTCACGCATTGATTAATTGCAATCCAAGATGATGCTAGTGAACAAAATGTGGGCCTTGGACGTTAAGGATTTAACTCAACATCAGAGACTGAACTAGAAGCGCAGTGTCCCCAGTCATAGTCCAGTGTGCTAGCTCTCAATTACGATACAGCCCTGTTCTTTAATGCTTTTTAAAAAATTAGAATGCAGTTTCACAGACAAGGCATCAGTATTTTTAAAAATACTAATTCAAGGACCTAGAGATAGCCATTCTAATTAAAGTGGGCCAGAAAGAGAAAGAAAAATGCCATATGATAATCACTTATATGTGGAATCTAAAAAAATAATAATAAGAACACGAATGAACTACTTATTATTTATAACTTAGATGACTGATTTCTTGACTATGTGAAAGCACATTTGACAGTCCTTGATGGTTGGATTACATCATTCTGTTAATTCTTACTTTGTGGTTGGCTTTATTCCTTTGACAACCATGTAAGTTTAAAAAGCTAAAGCTCTAATCTGTTCTGAGAAACAATGATCAGTACATATATGTAAACTAAAAGAAAAATGTGCCATATATTGTATATATGCATTTACATGCAATATAATGTATACATGCAGTCAAAGTGTAACAATTCTACTAATAAAACTGAAAAAGGAAAAAATAAAGATACCATGAAACAACAAAGGCAAAAAAAATTGTTCAACTATTGTTGCATACTTAAAGAATGATTTAAGCAATTAAGTAGTCTTTTGGCTAATCTTTAGTTTAGTATTCACACTTTACCCATATTGACTTCAAACACCCAGTGACTTAGCAAGCATTCAGAATTCTTTCTTGTCTTCTCTCCCTAAGAATCCAAAATCCCACTGGCAATTTACTGAGGAGAAAACCAGTCCTTTGCTTCCCTGTTCCTCCTCCATTCCCAAACTCTTCTAATTACTCCTCAACACGGTGAGGAAAAAGCGGAAGCCCTCTGCAGCACCCCACAACCACCCCTGGGCACTTGAGATGAATGTTTCCTGCAGCTGAAGGAAACCACACAACCCCATGACCTCTCTCTGAGCCACCCTTCCCAACTCTTCTTCCAGCTGCAGCTTCTCATAACTGAGTCCTTGAGCCAGAGCTCACAGGAAAATGCCCATTTGGGACACACTACTGTTTTTTTATACCATTTTGCACAGATTTTAACTTTTAAACAACAGAATATAATACCATTTTACGATTACTTTGCATACATCAGTAACTCTACATTTTGGAAACACTTCTTTTTTGTGTTTGGTCATCTTTAATAACTTCCTCTAGACAACATGTAGGAGAATTCATTAGAATAAATATTTTCCATACAATAAAATGGAAAAACAGTGAAGTTGACTTCCCCATAAAGCTGGTTAGACACAGTTCTCGTGAGTCATTGACTACTACTTTCCTAATGACACCTTTTTAAGATGGAGGCATGAGGCTGCATCACAACAGGTTACATAAATATGCAGTAGAAATCCTGAGCTCCAGGTAAGCGGCAAAATGCTGCCAGATCCCAAAATTAAAGGCTGTAAGGAGGCCCACTCCCTCCTCACATCCACGGAGCGCTCACGTCCTGCGCAGTGAGCTGCCCGGTTCACATCCCAGACAGCATACCCTCGACCTGGAGAGCTTGGAGACTTTGGTGGACTCAGGACTTTAATTTGAAGATCTGTATTCATGTCCTTTTTAATTAATAATTGTTCTTTTCCCCACCTGACAGATTAATTACACAGAAAAATGTTCAGATTGTGCAAAACTGCGGGAAAACACTGCTAATTTTGACAAAGAATGCACTTGCTCTATTCCCTTCTACCTCCCAGAGGCAATGAAGGTAAGTGAGATTCAAGAGCCTTCAGTTGGCTGTATGCTGCTCTGTTCCTATTTAACACAGGGCAGTAAGTTCACGATCTCTACCAAATGCTTTCCAAAACTGAAAATACAAAAAAATAAAGCAGAGCGGAGTTGAGGGTCTGAGAAAGTGTTGAGTTCATGTGTGACTCTCCCTTTCCCTTTTTCCTTTTGACTTTCATTCTTCCCCTTTGTTTCTAAGTTTCCAGATTCTTTACCCACCCAACTTTGTAACATAATTCTCAACATCAATCAAACAGGTTTTACGCCAAATGTCAGCACAGGAGGGGACCATAGCAATCACTGGATCTAACCACTCATTTTATAGTGAGAAAATTAATGGATTGAGAGGTTAAGTGACTTGACCAAGGTCACGCAGTGAGTTAGTGTCAAGGGTCACACACCTGGTGGGACTCTCCTTGGCTCCCCCTCCAAGTCATTCTACACATGCAGCTGCCTACTCCCTAAGGCAACTCTTGGCCCGGCTGTCAGGCACTGTGAGAAATGCCAAAGAAATAAAAAGAGATGTCCCTGCTCTTAGGCTGATGAAAGTCTCGTGTTGTCCAGGTCCTCTGAGGAGCAGATGCCAAGACATAACAGAGATTTATTGGGGGAGCTGCCTGTGAGGGAAAATATGGATGAAGCCAGAGGAGGCTGTGAGAACACAACACAGCTCTGACCCCTGGGAAGGAGAGGGGAGGGGAGAAGGAAGGCAGGGGCAGGCAGGGGCATGGGAGGGTAAAGAAGAAGAGAAGATGGGAGGGAGGGAGGAAGGAAGGTCTGCAGAAAATTCTTGAGAAAGTTTCAGCAAGGCCGACAGAGAGTCCTGGCCTCAGTATCCCTGTTGCTCAGGCACTGGCTGGGAGCAGCCATGGGAATGGGAAGCATGGCCTTGGTGCAGACACAGGATGACCTCAGAGCAGAGCAGCTGGAGCCGCCCCTTGATTACACTCTCTGCAGCAGGAGATCAAGAGGCACCTTTTCAGGGCCTCTCTTGTCTTACAAGGTAGTCAGGACTTAATCAAATGAAAGTGTATTTTCTTCAGCTTTTCAAAGGTTCTGTTCTGTCCTCTGGGCTTTGCAGCTCTCCCCACAGCGCCCTCCTCCCTTACTTTGTTCGTCCCTCTTCCTTGCCCTTCAGAGATGACTCTGCATGGGATGCTTCCATGTTCAGGCAGGCCTTTTCAGCTTCTCACTGAGCCATCCCATCTCAAAGTCTGCTTCCTCCCCAAACAGGACTCACTGTCATCTCCTGAAAAACCCTCCCTTTCTGCTAAAGATTCCATTGCCAAGACCCAAAGTTTTCCTCCTTGACTTTACCCTGCCTGCTCCTTTCTCATCCAGGCCTCTGATGTGTGAGCCCTGTTCTTCAATCCGTGTTTCTCCCAGCCACCCTCTCCCCAGTTCAGACCCTCCTGGTCTAGTATCACAGTGACTTTAGTTGCTCTTCTAGCCTCTGGCTTCTACATTTAGCCAACTGTTATTTGCAAAATCAGTAGACCATGCCCTGCCCTCCACCTAAATTTGCACTCTCTCACATTGTTCTTCAACACTGGAGGCCCAGCTATCTTTTCATCTTTATCTCCATGGGAGACCCTGTACTCCTGCCAAACTGACCCAACCTGTTTTTCCATGATACAGCTCTCTATGTTCTTTTGCCTAGAAAGCCTCCCCTCTCACTGCCACCTGTAAGATCCCACCTGTGTTAAGTCCCTAGTATCCCAACCCTTCCTTGAGCCTCCTTTTCACTCATGTCTCCAGCAAGAATTTTGCCCACATTTGTATTCTGGGAGTGCTGTTCCCACTCTTCTGATGGACTTGCAGTCACCCATAAAATATCCTATAGACTCATTTCCTCTAATTACAGGAACCTCCCTGGGGACAGGGATCATGCTTTACGTGCCACATCACAGCTACTTACCCCCACCCTGTCTCTGCACACAGACTCAACCTGCCCACCTGTTACCACAGGGGAACCACCCATGCTCCCGTCTGAAGGCTTGCCTCTCCACTTATGCAATAGATGCCATCCTTTCTTGTCTTTATAAGGGCTTAACTCAGCAGTTCTTACCTCTCGTATATCATCAACTTTTCTCTCTCCTGGATCTTTCCCACCAGCACACATACTATTTCTTAACATATCTGTAAAATACAAAAACTAAACACTCTTCTATCCTCCCAGATTTCCCTGCCAACTATTTGCCCATTTCTTTTCTCCTATTAGCAGGAAATCTCTTCAGAAGAGTCATCTGTCTTGGCTGTTCCCAGTTCCTCTCTTCTCATTCTCTCTTAGGTCCACTCCAATCAGGTTTTGGCCCCCAACACTCGCTGAAATTTCAAGGTTACCAGTGACTTCCACATGGATACATCCAGTGATAAATCCTTAGTGCCTCGACACCCACTGGACATAGGTGATCACTCCCTCATCCGTGACCCACTTCCTTCTCTAGGCTTTCAGGACACCTTACTGTCTTGGTTTTCCTCCTTTCTCTCTGGCCGCCTTCTTTGGTTCCATTGCTGTTCCTCTTATTTTCCCCAAACTCTTTATGTTGAGATCCTCAAGGCTTTAGTCTTCTTCTCCTCTCTTATACACTCACTTCCTAGGAAACACCATCCACCTCCTAGGTTCAAATACCATCAATCACCAACACCCTATTTTATATCTCTAGCCCACACCTCTCTTCCAATATCCACCCTTGTATTTCCAGCTGCCTTCCTCAGGTCACCATTCAGATGTCTAATAGATATCTGAAACTCAACGTTTCCAAAACTGAACTCCTGATATCCATTCCTCCCCCTTATTTACTCTACACACCCCACCCCCCTTAAAAACAAAAACAAAAAACCTGTTCCACCCACAGACTTCTTAATCTCAGGTGAAAATAACTCTGTCCTTCTGGTGCTCAAGCCAAAAGCCCAGGAGTCATTCTTGACTCCTTTCACTCTCTCACACCTCGTATCCATCCATCCTACTGGCCCTACCTTCAGAGTATATCCAAAGTATATTCACCTCTGCCCCCTCTGCTGCTACTACCCAGCTCCACACCACATTCACCTCTCGGGTGGGGTTCTGAAATAGCCTCCTATCAGGTCTCCCTGTTATATCTATAGCTCAATATAGCAGCCAGAGTGAACGTTTTGAAGCATAAGTCATACGTTATTCCTTTGCTCAAAAATTTCTGCAATGGCTTCTCTTTCCACTCAGTGAAAAAGCCTAAGTCCTTACAAGCCCTTACATGATCCTCTCTAACCTCCTCCCTTCATTCTCTTCCCCCATCCCCACTCTGACCACACTGGACTTCTTGTTCCCCAAACAAGTCAGGTATTCTCTTACGCCTGTCCCCAATTTTTGGTTGGCATTATCACCGAATAAGGCCTATACTGCCCATCCTATTTCACTGCAACCTGTCTCCTCACCTCACCCTGCACTCCTGACTTTTGTTACCTCGCTGTATTTCCATTGTTTTCCACAGTATTCGTCACCTTGTAACATGCTATATAAATGAACAGTTTATTATATGTATTGTTTATTGTCTGTCTCTCACTGTTATATCCCAAGCACCTGTAACAATGCCTGGCACACTGTAGTTGCTCAATTAATGGTTATGGAATGGGCATGTGAATCTTTGCTTCCTCCACAGTGTATAGCACAGTAATTTTACATGGTAGATGCTCAGAAAATGTTTGCTGAAATGTTAAATTAATGGAAGAAAGATAAAGTGCTAAATTATATCGCTTTATGCTCCAGGAAGTTTTGTTTTTTTGTATCCCTTTCCTATTTCCCAGTTGACCCCAGATGAACGCATGTTGGCATCAGTAATATTCTGAATACAACTGTGTCTCTAATCATTTTTGTGAGTGTAAGTCACACAGATTATAAGGAAATTACTGAGCTGTACCTGGGTTGTAAGTGATATCTATATAAGGTCACTGGGAGAAGTTTTATATATGTGTTCTTTATTAGAGATCAAAACTGAGAATTATGAGAATTCTCAAATTGTAATTCTCTACAGTTGCTGCCCTTTCTGGCCTTCCTCCACTCACTCTGCTGCCCCCATCAAAGTAAAAGTTAGTGTTGCTTTTTTTTTTCCTAAAAGCATTAAAAATTTATTCTCTAGAAATCAGAAGTCTGAAATCAGGGTGTCAGCAGAGTTGGCTCCTTCTTGAAGGCTCAGAGTGCTTACAATTTTAAAGAAAAAAATCCAAAAGATAAAAACCTTAAAGTGCTTGGGTTCCCATCTGTCTGTCCTTTAAAATCCTAAAGGCAAGTAAGTGTTACGAGCTGCTAACCATTCCTTTCAGGCAAAGGCTTTCTCATAAAAATCCAACCAAACTACTCAGGGCAACCACAGGGCCTTCAGCTCACCAGGTCACACGTATCACACGTGCTAGACAACGGATCCATGCAGAGCTCTCTACCTTAACCTAGGAATTCGGCACCAAGTACCACAGGAGAGGAGCAGCCTCACGAAGCGCATTGTGCCTCCAGGACTAATAAACAAGACGATGGTCTCGGAGGCCTTGTTAAGCTAAATCTTGGACAAAGAATCATTGAAAAAGGGTCATTAAACCACTTCTGTCCCTAGTGTGTGAGTGTTCTCTGCCTGCTGATTTTGTCATTTATATGAACATATAACTTTGGGTAAGGAGAATTCTCTTTTAGCTCCCAAGAAAATGCAGTCTGTCCCACGCTCCGGATTCCAGATTTTCTCGCATTGTGGACCAGCAGCGGAGACTCCCTCTTCAGATGAGGAAGCACAGTTAGGGCTTCCCACTGCACCTGGCCTGCAGGCCGTCACACCCACGCTCTCCTTTCGTGATGCCCCAGCCCACCTCTTTCTCAGGGTGCAGCGGCTCCCCTCCTCGCTGTTGCAGAGACTCTTCTCTGACCAGGGACCACGCTCTTCAGCCTTGGTTGTCTTCTATACTGGGCCACACTTACCATGACCTTCATTTTCAGCCTGCCCTGGATACCAGCTCCCATCTCCCATGCTCATCCTCTTCAAGGTCCTTAGGGTGAGGCCATATTTGCATAGAATGAGAGAATCAGTTGCCTCAGGAAGTTGTAAAGGACTGCTTTTGTATTTCTAGCACTGAACGTAGCACCTGACACATGGGAGTCACTTAATAAAATTTAGGCTTTCGTATCTGTGGATGCAGGCCTTTATTAGTTTGGAGATAGGTAGTATATTAATCATGAACAGCTACATCGGACAGTTACATTTGCATCCTATGTGCTGTTAGTAAAATCTGCATCAGGTCTGCCTGGAGAAGTTCCAGGGCCTTGGTACTTCACCATTAAGGTAGAAGCATTGATGGTAGCCTGTGCCTGGGCAGCCTCAAACAACAGCATCCATGAAAAGGTTTATCTCTTATGGCAACCAGGCTGTGTATTGTCAAGGTGAAAATCATCTTTCTTCTAGATTAGCAAACCATTCCATCTTTTTGTCCATAACAAATGGTTCACCATTTCTTGACCAAGCATTTTATGGCAGAGTACTGTGCTAAATCCTTGGGGTAAAAAGACAACATGGGGGCCAGACCCCAAGGAGCTAGTCTCATGTCTTTCACGTGTCCAGTACATACATGCACCTAGACATGTTCAGTGGCCCCAGTTTTATTCTAAGGATTTGCTTTGAAACTGTGTGAATTTGATGCTTACCACAACCCCTAGGCAAAGCAGCTTTCCCAGTGCTGCTGGGAAATAATTGTAAAATCAAATTTTACATATTGAGAATGCAAATGATAAATTTTTTAAGACAAAGCGTGGTAACCCTTCCAAAAACATTAAAAGTAAATTATTTAGTCCTTTTAATAATTCTATGTAGGCCAGGATTTTCCAACACTGATTTTTAGAAATAATTTCTCGGGTTTCTATTTGATAAAAAGAAACTTTCAGTTCCCATCAATGTTTTTCTGTACTACTTCTTGCATTTAAAAAATCCTGTCCATGTTTATTAACAGTCCAGCTTATTTTCCTCTCTCCTTACTGCTTGCTCTTCTCCTCTACAGGGTGACGTTTATATGTTCTACAAACTGTACGGCTTCTATCAGAACCTCTATCAATATGTTCTATCCAGGAGTAATAGCCAACTGATGGGTATAGATATAAAGGTAAGGCTTTATTTAACTTGTTATAACACTCTTTATTTTTTTTTAACCTGATGAAGCTTTCAGTCTAAAAGAGAATATGGAAAATAAACTCAAAAGCTAAGGTTTCACAAGACAGAAATGCTCATTTTATTCTTGCGTGAACTGCAGGGGCTGGGTGTTCAGGATAACGGCTCCTGAGAAGCAGCCCTTTCCCTATTCAGAGCAGGAATGCGAATCTTGTCCAATTAAATGGTTATGCTTTCATGCACCAACCATTTTTTTATTTGACAGCATTTTGTATTAAAACCAGTTATGTAGTGGATTGCCCAAGTCTTGGTCATAGTGAATGTGTCAGAAGGGCAAGTCTTCATGTACATTTCAACCACAATTCACGATAGACGCTTCTGTGAGTAAAGTTGATGCCATATTGCAGCTGCTTCAAAGAGAAGAGTTTTTGCTTTTAAATGACTGACACATCAATTAGATTTCAGTATTATTTCTTCACACTTAATTTCTGTAGTTATCTTGAAAGTTGCCCATTTTACCTAATGGATGCACCTGCCATTTTGATAGTGGCTAGTCTCAGTCTGGCTCACTCTATATCCACCATCATGCTCCCTATAATGGGCCTTCAATCAATATAGTTTAAGGAAATTGGACTTTACTTGATTGAATAAAAGCCTTTGGTTTAATTGAATATTCTTTCAGACTACAAAAAAAATCCTTTCAGATTACAAAATTTTACTCTTTCTTGGTAGATGGTATTCAGCATGCTGGCAAGAAAAGCTAGAAGGAAACCTTTTCTATAGCAATATTATATAAAAGTGCTTTTTAGCAGCTACTCTTTTAAAAATGTATTCTGGTAGTTAGGTGGATGGATTCCCTGTGACAAGTCATCTATCTGTAGACTCACAATTTTATACTTTTTGGAATATAAATTACACTTCAATAAGAAAAAGCCTTTGAAAATGTAATCTGGTGGGGGCTTAAGTGTGGCATTTAGCATAGCCAACAAAGTTCCTTCCTGCAGACATAGTTGGTATGCTGTGTACTGCTAATGAGGAAAAAAAACTACACACACATGCATGTACACATACACATTATCTTCAAAACACGAAAATTTTCTAGTCTAAGTGAGCCAGTAGCCTGGGAACAACAGTCCATAATCCTGGTCTGTGCTAATAAATCAGTGTGGGTTAATTTACATTTGCCAGTGTTTTCGTTTTCAGCATTTTAAGAGTTTACTGAAAGCGCTTATTCCTGTATCATTTCACATCCAGGATGTTAGTAACTGTGCTCCTTTCAAAAACTCCCACAACGGGATCCCCATCGCTCCTTGTGGTGCTATTGCCAACAGCATATTCAATGGTAGGTACTTTTCTTATCTCCATTGTGTTCCCTTTTGTAAGTGTGTAACAATCTAAATGTCCAGAAGATCACTTCTGCAGCTGAGTGGCCGGGCATCTCTAAGAAATGTTTGTATACATTATCCACTGATTTATGGTATTTCATTTGCAAATGGGTTCCCCCTTATCAGAGATTTGAATAGTTAAATGGAGCCGAAGAGTATTTTTCAGTAACTGGGGCATTGGAAGGAAAAAGAAGAGTCTTTGAAGTCCAGCATCTATGACATGTAGGCATGTTGAGAAGCTGCTAATACTCTGGTTTAATTTTCAGCTGTGTCTGGCTGTGCAATTCCAAATGTGGCAAAAATACTTACTCGTATCTCTAATACAGTTTTTAATTTCCTTATAGACACCATTGTTCTTTCATACAACCTTAATTCATCTATGAGTATCAAGGTCCCAATGCTAAGGAGTGGAATTTCATGGTGGACAGACAAATATGTCAAGTTTTGGAATCCAAGTTCCCAAAATCTTTCTAGTGCGTTTGCAGGTAAGATCCATAGATTAGCTCAACATTCTTCTCTCTTTATGGAAACTTTGGTTTTGATATGTGGGGAGGTGTTTATGATGCCTGCTTCTTTACTTCTTTGTTGACCTCCTTTTGCTTTTTCCCCTACCTGTGGGCATCTCCATTGCATACCTATCAGAAACATGAGATGATTGGTACCCTGGTTCCCTCCAGTTTACCACTGGGAAAAAGGCAGTGTTTTAAGAAATTTGCTGCTTAATCTATAATTAGAGTGATTATGTAATTTACTGTCCAAACTAGTATGCTTTTGAGAAGAAAGTGATACTGGAATAACTAAAGTTATATATTTATTTGAAAGTTTTATTTATTGACCAATAAACTGACATTACCATATTGATGGACCTATAAAAGAATTCTACTATGAACTATTTTAAAAATGCAATTCTTTAAAAAATTAAAATAATAAATTTGTGTACATTAAATCAAGTTTTAAAAATTTATATATTATCTAAACATTGAAGGGTAATGTAAGCAAAATAATTATTCTGGATACAGAACCACATACTTTAATCAGTTTCTTGGCCATATCTGTCTTCACTACAAGCCCCTGTATTTTTCTAATGAATTTTTTAAACAATATTTTATTAAAATATTATTTTTAATTTTTTCACAAAATTGTCTGCAATCATTTTTGAAGTTGCATTTTATGGTTAATCAGTTTGAAGTTGTTGCACTTTAATTGATTCTTCTCTTTTGACTCTGTTTTTTTTTTAATTGAGAAAATATGTACAGGTGATGAGGTACCTATTATGTTTACAATTTTACTAAATAGAGGATATTCTCGTTTTTAATTCTTCTGTATTGAGATATGCTAGTATTGTAACCCAAGTATTTCTGTAGGCCCTGTCACTTTTTGACTTCACATTTTTTCTATGTTTTTTTTAATATTTTACTAACTTTACATGCTACAAAACCTTAGACCTTCTTGATATCCTTTAATTCTGATAGAGAAGAAAATTTTATCTAATCAAAACAGGAAAACTCCACCAAAATAGTTTTCACAAAATTGAGATATTCCAAAGCACAATTACAGAATTTAAAAATTAAATTGTCTACCTTTTGAACTTTCATTATGCAACATGGTCAGTTGTTCTCTTGCTTTTATAGGGGTAAATTTCAGTATCTTCTTGTTTGCAAACTTGGTTTTCAATAATTACAATTAACTAAACCTTCAAAAATTATAAGTTTTATGGCATTCCGTATTTAGAATACTTCGTCTAAAACTTTTCAACTGTTTTGAACAAAATTTCACCAGAAGTTAGAGGGCTCACTTATCAAAAAAATGTTTGAGGATTATCGTGAGACATGTCATTTGACATAGAAAACAGCTCTTTGAAGGCTCAAACATTTCTGAAATTCTGGTTGATGATGTATAACAAAAATAGGCTGCGCGTACTACCATGCCGAAGCATTTCTTTAACATTTTTGTCACTGTAAAAATTTTGCAGTTTATTTTCTGTGTGGATATATAAAAATATTTAAATTTCCACAACTCTTCTTTTGATAACAAAATATTGTAGCTTGCTTGGATACAGTTAATTATGTATATAAAACAACCAATTTAAAACTCATTTCTCCGTAAATTTCCAGTTTACCAAGAACATTATCTTTACTCTGATAGTTTGCTCCACCAAATTTGCATTTATGTTATCACTACAAAACCAAAAAATTTACACTTGATTCCTTAATTTTTTAACTGAATTTATGGTAATATTTATAATAATGTCAGAGGTTTTATCTTCCAAGATTGAATATTGAAAATCTTTGCTTTGATTCCATGAAGAAGCAAATTTAAAAAATCAAACCAATATATTCAGATGGATGGATACATCTGAAGACATAGATATAAAAATGGCCTCATTTAACTGTTTACAAAGTTCTTTTTGTGCTCATAGAGCCAACACATTCAAGCTTTCCTTTGATTACAAAAATAATTAATAAAAAAGTGAAAGTAAAGGGAAACTCTTTTGACCTAAATAAAAAGCCATGCTCTATACCAGAAATTGACACATTGTAAACTGACTATACTTCAATAAAAATATATATATTCAAAAAAAATTCATGCTCACATAATGATATATAAATAGACTTTCACTAGCTATCTGAGGTATAGCATTGTCTTTCAATACATTCTTTTGAAAATACACGCAAATTTTTGGAGTAGATTCTGATGTTCTTCATCAGATTTATATCTTTTGATTTTCCCGTGGTCATTGACATCATGATAGTTCCCACAGTGGAGGGTAAATGTCAACCAACATTGCAGTTATCACATCATCAACTTTCTTTGAAAAAGAATTCTTAATTTCACGTTAAACATGTATGTTCCATTTTTTAGTTCTTCACAGCTAAAGGGATTTACTAGCAAATAAAAAAAAATACCAAACAATAAAATAGTTGTAAATTTACAGCATATATTAAATAACACTGTTGCAAGAGAGTTCAAAGTACTCTCAGCAAGACTGTTCAGCATCTATTTTTTACACTGCGTCATGCATGTATAACATAACCTGTGCTACCCCACCTTTCCCACTGACCCCACTGACTTGCAGCCTGGCAGCTTCACACATCTCACAGGCCAAAACAGAGGCTATGGCCTAACTGGCTGGAAGGTCACACAGTGGCAGGGGTCACAGGGATCTGTTATGTTTTGCTCTGAAGGGCCTCTTGTTATCTTTCATTAATGACATGTTAAAGTAAGCTCTCTATTCATTGCACACGGGTCTCTGTCACGACTATGAAGATGATGGCTGGCAGCTGAAAGGATCAAATTGTATGTATATTATTTGTTTGGAATAAATGCTGTATTAGATGAGATAATGGACAACAGATGTAAATAAACCTTTTGATAACAAAATATTGTAGCTTGCTTGGATACAGTTAATTATGTATGTAAAACAACCAGACTGTCTTAGGCAAACTGGCATATATGGTCACTGTATCTATAATTAAATTCCCAGTTTTTGAAAGGAATTTGGCAACCTTCTATTGTTTTGCCTTACCATAACCACAGGCCTGTAACACAAAGCATCCTTGGCATTCTCTTACCTCCTGCACTTTGTTCTTACTTGTGTCGTAAGAGTTACCATGTTATACCGTAATTACCTGTTTGAATACCTGTCATCCCCACTTCAGTATGTGAATTCCTTGAGAAAAGGGATTGGATCTTGTGTAGTTTTGTATCCCTGGTGCTTGACACAAATGAGCAATCAAGAAGTGCTTATTGTTGAGTGAATGGATGAACACAAATGACCCAGCTGAACTCAGAAAATGAAAGAGGTTGGTACTTCCTACACCATGCCTCTCATATCCTCTGAAGAAATAGGTTGGGGTGAGATCAGAGGTTGGTAAAGAAAGGTGTGCTTGAACCTACGTTTTTTTCACTCCCTGGGTGATTTGGATATCAGTGGCCCATAGGACATGTAGCCTTGGGGCATAAGCCCTGGCTAAAGTGGAGAGAGGGTAAGGTCCATATGCAGGTACCAAAGGTAATTTTCATTTTGATCAAAATCCTTCTGGCAACAGCAATTAAAGTCTTAGGAAGGCGCAACGTAAGTGAGCTGCACAATTTTTTCAGAGGAAATTTCTCCAGCAAAGGATTATTTCCAGAGGAAGAATAAGTATAGAAACATACTTCAGCAGATTAATCCAGCAAAATTTGGCACATGCTTTTATAAGCACTGCAACCCATGCTTAGAAAACAGGACTGGGTCTCTTTTAGAAGAAAATTGTCAGTGGTCAGAGTTGAGAAAGAATGGTTTCCTACAAATAGTAGAACCAGTTTTATGGAAGTAAAAATTTCACTGAACAACTTCCTCTTGCTGACTTTTTTAAAAATTCAAAATGCTTTCTACTGTTAACTTCTATCTGCTTTCATTGGAATCGCTCATCCCTTTACAAGCATTTATTGAACCACGTACCACATGCCAGGCTCTGGACTAAATGCCAGTGAAAAAAAGTTGAGGGAGATATTGTACTCAAGAGACAGCCATAGAGTGGGAAAGACAGACATGCACACGCAGTAAAGTGGGGAGTCAACTCAACAGACTGAGCTCCTGACACTGGTCTTCCACCCTGTGCTACCAACATTCCTCAGCACAGCACCCAAACCTGCCCAGCTTCCTGGCTTTGGAACAGGCTTGCAACACTTTTGCTGTCCACCTTCTCCCTTTTACCAATTTCTCTTCCTTGCTTCCGACTTTGAGCTCTTAGGCACAGGGCTGCAGGGAATCTCTGTGTAACATGATCTTCCTGCACTTCCATGATTATTTCCTTAGAATACAGTCCTAGAAGTAGACATTCCAGGTCCAAATGTATGCAAAATACCTTAAACCTTTTGCTGCATCTTCCTAGATTGCCAAAGATGTGGTTAATCTACACACACATCTGCTCTGTGCAAGAGTTCCCATTTCTATTGCCTCATTGATGGTTCTAATTCTTGTCTATAAATGTTAAATCATTTTTAGGTGAAACAGTATCTTGTTTTAATTTGCTGTTTTCAGATTGCTAGAGAAGTTAAAGAAAATAAAGACATTCCCCTTGATGCTATCACGGAATACCACCACTGTTATCATTTTGCTCTCCCTATTTTTTTAATGCTTTATTATGCATTTAATATAGTTGAACACATCATACACATATAATATGATATTCTGCTTTTTTAAACCCTATAGCAATATCATCAGCATTTCTCCCCACATTTCCCTAGAGTCTCTGTAACTATTATTTGTAATGGTTGTATACTCCAGCAGCTTAAACACATACACTTTTTTTAAAAGTAGAATTTTGACTTCTCTTTTCTCAAGAATGTGAAAGTTGTTTCATTCTCTACACTTCAAGGAAAACTGAAGAGAGCAGATGATTTTTCTCAACCACATCCATTGTTAACTCTCCACAGGAACTGCAAAGCCCCCATCCTGGCCCAAGCCCGTCTATGAACTGGATGAAGAGGATCCAGAAAACAACGGCTTCATCAATGAGGACTTCATCGTGTGGATGCGGACGGCCGCCTTTCCCACTTTCAAAAAGCTTTACCGCCGACTCAGTCGAATACAACATTTTACTGAAGGCTTGCCGGCTGGTAGCTATAGTTTCGGCATCACCTACAGTATCCTTTTAAGTATCATAGCCAAGGGAGCCCTGGATCCAGCGGGCAGGTTCCGTTCATTGAGCCCCCCAGAGCCGTGGTACGAGCTCTGCCCTGAGAGTGCTGGGTCCTCCCTCTGTTCCTCCCTGTATTAGGTCTGGAGCCGGCTAGCAGGAGCCAGGGCCTTGGGTGTGGACACACAGGCCATGTCAGGAGACGTGCTTTATTATGAGATTCTGAATGTTTTCACTGAATTTAAAAATACAAACGTAATTCTTGACTTAAGAACAAAAAGGATTTCAAATGACACTAAACATTATCTTTTAAAAATTATATACTTAAACACAATTTATACTAACTCTGGTCTTCAGACTTAAAGTCCCTTCCCGATTCTCCCTGAGGCAGAATCTCTCCAGGGCTTGCACACAGCTTTGAGACGTCAGCCCAGTTAGGCATTAGCACCCTCATAGCGTCTCAGGGCTACTGGCCAGGAGTTGTTCGTGGGACCCCCAGCAGGCCAGCGGATCTGAACACCAAACTCTCTACCTCCTTTGTCTCTCAGGGAGCTTGGTTGAGAGATTCTTGGGATCAGTGAATGATGGTATGTGTTCCAGTTCCCTGCTCCATCTTTTCTTCTTTTCTATCCTGGAGCAGAACACAGACATCTCCACTCTGACAGGGGAATGGGGACAATCCTCAAGCAGAGATACTCCCACTGATGTGACACCATCTCTACCTCTCAACTTGTTGCCTCCTTATGTTTACTGACCAGGAGTATGGATTCCTTCAGCCATTCCTCTAGCACGGTCTCTAACTCTATTCTATGAAAAGGAAAGCCAGAAATTGCTCTGTCTTACGCAGCATTATATGTGCAGATCAGAAAGTAAGCCGTAGAATACTACCTTTTAAATAGGATTTCAGCAACCCCTCTCTCCCTCCACCCCTCAGAATCTGAGATTGAAAGTTGCTTGACTGTAATCTCTCAAATTGGACCTTCTGTTCCCAAGTTTGTCTGTGATTGCCCTACCAGTAAAGCAGTTATGGTTGCAATCAAGATACAGGAAAAATAACACATCGTGTACTGCTGCCCTCACAATGCATTACAGTGAGTTTGAGGTTGAGGGGAAAAGGAAGGGAGTCCACGTTCCAAACATGGGAGACACTATTTGTCCTCTTAAAACACGCCGTCCCTGGGCGTCTTCACTCACAGTCATATTTTAATGCTGATGACTCTCAAAGCTAAATCTTTGTGCAGAATCTCAATCCTGAGCTTTGGTCCTATGCCTGCGTTGAACCCTGGTGTGAGTGTTACCCATCCTGCCTCACAGCCTGGCCAATATGCAAGGAGTACTAAGCCTGAGCTGCAGAAAATGCCTACCACTTCTAAGGGGGCAAAGACCCGCTTAATGAAACTGACAAGGGAAGACAACAGCCAGGTGGCTGAGTTGAGATAGCACCCAAGGACCTGGTGACAATGATGAATTTTTTATTTTGAAATATAGTCAATTTACAGTGTTGTGTTAGTGTCAGGCGTACAACAAAGTGATTCAGTTATACATATATAGCAATTCTTTTTCATATTCTTGTCCGTTATAGGTCATTATAAAATACTGAAAGTAGTTCTCTGAGCTATATAGTAGGTCCTTGTTGTTTATTTTATATATAGTGGTGTGTATCTGTTAATCCCAAACTCCAAATTTATCCCTCCTGCCCATACAATGAAGAATTTTGATGTAAAAGAAAGAGACTGAGTTTCCTAACAAGTTTCCTTGTGCCTTTAAATAGCATGATGCCAAATGATTTGAGGCCTTTTAAGAGCTTTGCTGGGAAATGCCGTTGCTATGAGAGACTTTATTTGTTTATTAGTTTGGTTTACAAAAGGCACCAGATGTTTAAAAACCTCAAGCCACATGCATAATCAGAATGACATCATTAAAATGCTAATGATAGCAAACCCACTTCAAACACTTTCTCCCCAGCAGTGAGGGATGCTGGCCTTTTCAAAACCCAAATGAATGTACCACCTTTAGTTTTCCTACTAAAAATGTTTTGCCATCTATCTCCTTTTTTTTCCTCTTCACTCCTTTTGAAGAGTTTTCCCTGAAGTAGAAATTCAAACCTTAGCCTATGAAAGACTTTAGCCTACCCTCAGTATCCTGATCCATAAACAAAAATTTAGATTTACTGCAAAATCTGTCTGTATTCTTTTCTTTTCCTTGAGTTTGCCAAAGGAAGTTAAATATATTTGTTCATTACTGAGTTGTTTCTAAGTTGTTCAGATCTGTGTCAGATTTCTTTTGTAGATTATAACTATGTAAGAGGGAAGGTATGTCTTTATTTAATTTCCTTCCAGCAAGTACAACATACTGCTTGGTAAAGATCAGACTATATGAAATTGAATATTCGACCATTTTTTACCTACAAAAACAGGAATATTATATGGTTCAACCTAATGTATTTAGGTTATGTTGAGGTAGTGCTGAGACGTGCTGAGACAGATCCTTAACAGGTTTTCTTTTCTTAGATTTTCCAGTAACCAAGTTTCAAGGAGAAAAATCAGTTGTTCTTTCCACCCTGACCTGGAGTGGAGGCAGTAGCCTCTTCTTAGGTCTCGCATACACAGTGACAGGAGCCCTGACATGGCTGGCCTTCTTTGCCATGGTGGCAATTCACTTGAGGCTGAAAGGAAGGAAAACGTTATTTCACCAGGAGTAAAGTCAAGCTTTAAAAAGAAAAGCAGGAAACACAGAAGTGGACGGTGAAGTAATGCAGCCAAAGATCCTTGACAAGCTTCAACGTGACTGGGATATTTCATCAAGGGAACTGAATTAACTGATCAAGTACATTCCCAGATGAATAAATAATGAGAGTTTCAGAGTGAAGAAGAAGAAAAGAAGATGAGGAGGAGGCCTAATTAGGTATAGTAAAATGTCCTGAGAATGGGGAAGATAAATCATCCTTGAGCTCTACACCAAGTCTTGGGTATTTATTTGAAGCCCTTGTGCCTGAAGGTAGGTGAATACCTAAAAGAGTGGCATCGCCAGACAAGAGTATGTAAGCCTGGGGTCCCCAAGATTGACCATCAGTCAGGCTCAGACAATGAGTCTTCGCAGGCTGGTTGAAATGATAGACTCCCCAACAGCAATTGTTAACGTTGAATTGAGCGATAAGGGTGGTTTTTGAAAACAGATTTATTAAATGTTTTCTCCTTTCTGTTGAGTCAAAATAAAGTCTTTTCTGCAAAGAGTAAACCAAAGTTATAGCAGTGCCTCAGCATCCAAAATACATAAGTACGCCAAAAGGAAGTGTAGGGATTTCCCTAAAATTTCCATGTAGCCAAGAGGGAAGCATGGAAAGTGACTGAATCTCTCAAAAACCACTCAACGTTTGAGGGCCCAACACAATTCTAAAACTTATATTGGGATGACATATTCTAGAATGCAGATAATGACGTGGATTTGTGGTATTTGAATTATATGTGTTGAGGGAGCTTCTTAGAGTTCATCTTAAAAGGTTTGAATTCCTGCTAAATGTCACTTACAGGAGACTGAACGAAGTACAGCTGACCCTTGAACCAACGCAGGGGTTAGTGGCACAGACCCCTGTGCAGTCGAGAATCCACCTGTAACTTTATAGCTGGCCCTTAGTATCTATGGTTTTTCATTCATGGATTCAACCAACTGTGGATCATGTAGTACTGTAGTATTTATTGAAAAAAATCTTTGTATAAGTAGCCATATGCTGTTCAAACCCGTGTTGTTCAAAGATCAACTGTCCTTGGAAAAGCTGCCAGGACAAGAGACTCCATAGATTTATGTACATAGATAACCAGAATATTATACTTTAAAAACCATATTTATAGTATTTTATTTTTTAAGGTGAGGGAAGCTTTACTCTGTGATGACTCTAAGAGCTGAATTTTCATTGTTAAAGAAAAACATAGTATCTACACATATTTGTCTCTTTAGCAGCCAAGAAAACATTTCTTTGTTGCAACATTCTACATTCGCCAAGCAGTCAAGTACTTTTCCAAATAAAATAAAATAACCAAAATGGTTTCAAATACCAACTCTGAAATCTTGGAATTCCTCCTCTGTCTCGTCTTTCATCTGTAACCAGTGAGCCCTGGTGACCAGATCTGGCAGGCTGAATAATTATACCCCACCTCCCACTCCGAAGATACCCACATCCTAATCCTTGGAACCTGTGAATGTCATCTCGCATGGCAAAAGAAACCTTACAGATGTGATTAAGGTAAGGATACTGGTATGGGGAGGTTATCCTGGATTACTTGGATGGGCCCAATGTAATCATAAGGGTCCTTATAAAAGAGAGGCAGGAGGTCGGAAGAGTAGAAGGAGATATGGCAATGGAAGCAAGAGGCTGGAGTGATACAGAGAAGGGATCGTGATCCAAAGACTGCGGGAGGCCTCTAGAAGCTGAAAGAAGCAAAAAACAGATCATCTTCTGTAGCTCCAGACGTCCTGCTGACACCTTCACTTGAGAGTCTGACCTCTAGAACTGTAAGAAAATTAATTTCTGTTGTTTTAAGCACTGAGTGTGGTAATTTGTTACAGTAATAATAGAAAACTAATATACCACAGGTTGGCAGTGCTCTAATCATCTGAACAGTTGTTTCTTGAGCTTAGGTGACTATGCAGGGCAGAAAGCTAGGAAGGAACAGGGCTCACACAGGAACCAGGCCCAGTGACTTCAGATCCTGGGCTGCCGCCCTTTCACTCCGCACTCCTCAGTTATGGGGCTGATTGGAAGGAGGTGTGAACACATTTGTCACATCTCAACCTTGTTGGTCAGCTTATAAGATGCTCTCTTGGCTAAGGATCTCCAGAGAAACAGGACCAATAGGAGGGGTGTGTGTGTGTGTGTTTGTGTGTGTGTGTGTGTAAAAAGATTTATTTTCAGGAATTGGCTGACATGATTGTGGAGGCTTCTCAAGTGTAAAATCTGATGGTGGGGCTAGCAGGCTGAATGTTCAGGAAAAGGTTGCATGCAGTTCAAGCCAAAAGGCAGTCTGCTGGAACACCAGGAAGAGCTGACATTGCAGACAGAGCCCAAAGTCTGTCAGCTGGAGAATTCCCTCTTGCTCAGGGGAAGCTAACGTTTTGTTCTATTTAGGCTTTCCACGGATTAGATGAGACCCACTCACATTGTGGAGGGCTATCTGTTTTACTCAGTCTACTGGTTTAAATGGAAATCTCATCCAAAAACAGCCTTACAAACAACAAAAACAACAACAACAACAACAGCCTTACAGAAACATCCAGAATAACGTTTGACCAAATATCTGGGCACCATGGCCCAGTCAAGTTCACACATAAAATTAACCACCACAAAAGGCACCTGCACTCATCAAGTAGTCAGGACTTTTCCAAAAAAGTACTCCTTGTTTCACTTTGCACTAAAGTTGGCTCAATGCGGGGGAAAAAACAATCTATATAAAAGCAAGTCTGTCCACAAGAAACTAAACCTTCGAAGAAAAGTAAGTGGCCGGAATTGATGACAGATTGCAGCTGTAGTTCCTTTTTTCTACTTCTCCACAAGTCACCAAGCCCAAAGCGGTTTATCTTTGTAAGACTCTTACTCTGCCACAAAGGCTCCGAGCCACCCTCCTTGTCCCTGTTAGGGGAGGAGCCTCAGCACTCAGTTAACTCCCCACCCACACTGGGCTTTCTCTCCTCTTCTTCCTCTTCCCTCTCCTGTCGTCTCGCTCTTGTCTTCTTCCTCTGCTTTTCTAATTCTTCGTCCTTGTGCTTTTGTGGATGGCTGGTGAAGGCTTGGAACAACTAGCCTTTCTTTCTCCAACTCCTGGCAACAGTTCTGGAGGGAGAAAAAGTGAGATCAAGAGAGACAAGAAAAGTGCAAATCAATGAGAGTTTGTGAGCGTGTGTTTGGGTGTTAATGTGTTCAGGCATTTGTGTGAATGTGAGTGTTTAGAAACTATTGGGGTCTTGAGGTGCTTTTACTTAGGCGTTTATTCTGAGCGTATGAGCAGATGCAGCAGGTATAAAATTGGGTAGGGTGATTAAAAGTGTAGATTTAACCTTTATTTGCAATTTAACCAATTAACCCCTCCCTTGTGTGACAAATTTACAATGCCAAGGATACCAAAATGAGCCAGCTGGGGCCCTGCTCTCAAGGGACTCATCTCACATGGATCTTTGTATCCTTCCAAATCCCCTTGCATAGTTTAGCATGAATCCCTTACTCGCCTTACGCAGATTTCTCTCAGCTTCCTGCACATCATTCTGGCTTCCAGGACAGAGGAGAGAGTATGCTCCCTCAGGGCAGTGACAGCTTCCCACCCGCTCTGTGTGACCCCTGAGCACCCATGTCCAAAGTGTTCACGTTAATAAAAAATCTCCAGACTTGGCCACAACTACATCATCCTTCCCAGCCGGCACTAAGGCCTCCCCCGTGAAGGCTGGTTTTTCAGATGGTTTGTCTTATGGTAGGGGCTTTATTAACCAAATCTTAATAAAGGAAAACCAGCATCAGTCAGCTGCTGGTGGTTTTCCTTTGCCAGACGTCCATCGGAATCCCACGGCGCCACCGCCTGCCCTTGTCAACAGTTTTTGTCTCTGGATTTTCCTAAATGATAGGACTGCAGAGCAGAGATCTCCTGGGTGCGACACAGGGAAGCCCATTACCCCTTGTCAGAGCCGGGGGAGTCACTCAGGCGCGCAGCCCGGGTGTCCCTGTTCTCAGGGCTGGCTCACAAGTCCATTGCTGAGTACCAGCCTTGGTTTGAAATGAGCACAGCCCTTTGAAGTCTTTATCGCTCCTAACCAAGTTTCAGATAGCTTCATTCTCCTTTTACCTGTTAACAGTGTCAATGTTTCTTTGACACTTCTTAGATAAATGCATTCTAGGATGAGCCATGGCCCCTTTTTTATCTCCAGTCCCCCTACCCCAGCCCCTTTAAAATAGCTGGCTATCTGGTGAATGATTAGAAGAGAGGAGGTGAAATGATGAGATTTAGATTGCAATGACTCAGCACACAGAGAAGTTCATTTAGGGGAAAAAAAAACATTTTCTGCAAAGGGTCAGGCTTGTACAGTATCCCCGTTCTAACCCTGTGGCGGTCTGTGAGCCACTCTGACAAATGTAGGAACTCTTCAGAGTCTGGGGAGAGAAATATTGTCTTATAATGAATCTTCCTTTTTTGATTAGTGTGGAGCCTGTATCCTGCTTCCAGAGGCAGGATCCAGTTTTCTTATTCATTTTCACCGCAGTTGGAATGGAAAAACTGAAGTCATTGCTCTGATGGCAAGAAACATCTTGTGGCGCCTACAGAGCCAGCAGTCAGTGCAGACAGGCGTGGGGGTGACTTTCTCTCCTTTTCTGTATGGAAAAGAGCTTCACTCCACTGAAACAGATGATTTTCAGTGCTGGCTAACATTGCAGAACTCACTTAGACTCAGTTGATTTTTTTCTTTTTGTTTGTAAAGATTTCTCAGTTTCTTTCTTATCATCAACATCCTTGGATTGGCCATAAAACTATATTCCTCAGTCTGAGGTCAGGGACTTTTCTGAGAGGTCAGGGAGATTCCAAATGGTTTGTGGAAACTAGAGCTGCACAGCTCCAAAAAGTAGGTTGGGGTGGAAGAGACAAGCAGTGCCTTTGTTTAGGGAAGCTGAGCAAAATTTGGATTTCCGTCTTTCTCCTAAAGCTGAAAAATGAGGAAGGAAATCTGAAGGGGAGAAGGAAATGAAACAACGAAATAAAGATGTGCCCAGCCTAGTCCGATGTGCCCTACCCTCATTCCTCCCTTAAACCCTCTCAACAATGAGGCAGATCTGTTACCCTCCTGGGAGTCACTTCCCTTCTTCCCTCCTGTCAAAGCCCACTTCACATGATACAAGTTAGAGTGCTAGATATATACTTTGCTTTGGGTAAGAATGGCAAAGGGACCCAGTTCTGACTATGGGACATAAGAGAAAGTGTGTTGGGGTATTTGGGAAAAGATTTTCTTACAAGACAAGCCAAAGCACACATGAAAAGAGCTCTCATGTTACCTTACCTGCCTCTGCTTCCTACATACAAATGCAATTGTATGACGATGTGATGCCTGGAGCTGCAGTAGCCATCTTGCAACCAAGAGGTTAAAAAAAAAAAATGAGGGCCAAAAGTTTTCATACTGAGGACAGTGGAATGGAGGCTTTAAAAAGCTGGATTCTTTTTTTAAAAAGTTTTAAAAATTGAAATGTACTTGATTAACAATATTGTGTTAGTTTCAGGTGTACAACAAAGTTATTTAGTTATGTATATATATTTTTTCAGATTATTTTCCATCGTAGGTTATTACAAGATACTGAATATAGTTCCCTGTGTTATATGGTAAATCCTTGTTGCTTACTATTTTATGTATA